AATAGGGGTAAATTATAATACAGCTTACCAAGAGGAACCGCGCATTTTGACGTTACCTCTGTGCTGCAGTCTGTTCTATCTGAAGGTTACTACTGGGTGTAGTGGTGATACTACTGATGAGGTGGCATGCGAGTAGTATGTTTTCTTCCCGTAAATTCGCTTTGCGTCCCTTGGAAAAGGGATATCTATTGCGGAATTTGTGGAGTTGCTTTGTAGCGTTTGCTTGGACTTGATCAACAGTCGATGAATATCCAGGAAAGTTCAGGAAGACGCGTTCAAGAGAAGATGGATGTTCAGTTTTTTGTAAACAAGATGCTTCTCTGTCCAATAGTCTGTAACAGGTCAGTTGACATTTTCTGATGAATAACTCCGCAGCGAAGGCCTTCTTCCTAGATGGATTATGTGAGGAAGGCAGGAAGCTTTCGTCTACCAGACAACAAATTGCAGTGGCTTTAACGAGAGGTTCGTTTGAACCTCACTGTTACAGTGGTCTTTAACAATTGAATTTTCCGGTGAGTGTACTTCGCCACTTGCTTTGGAAATCCTGAGAGTACACCTACCTGGTGAGTTGCAGGAATGACAAAACCGGTAGTGGGCTATCAAAGAGTTTTCATCAACCTTATAAGTAGTATACTAAGTCAAGCTCTCCTCTATCATGTATGGTTCAAAAGCGGCTTAGAAGAAGGGATTTTTTTCCAAAACGAAGTCGTGGCTCACGTTTCAGCATGTGTGACTGTCGAAATGACCAGCTCAATGCTCAAAGGCAGCAAATTCCAAAAAATGGACAGAATTCACATACAGAACATCTGAGTGAATAACGCTGTAGATGACCACTTCCAGAATGCGGCCTTCTTCATTCCTGCTTCGCACTATTTCGCTCCAGGGATGAAGAGTTGAAAAGACATTATCATTCCAAATCAATGAAAACCCCAACTTTGGGACAAATGCTGTTCATATGTTGAGGATCCACGTGGGATGTATAGACGCTGCATGTGAAATTAAAATATTCGGAGAGGCGTGAGATTCTGTTCCTGTTGGGACACCCTGATTATCGTACACGTTTTGACAAATGGTGGTAAACAAACAAGGGTTGGTTGAGGTATGTTAGAACCTTCTACGGGTTTGTGGAAACAAAGAGATACTGCAAGGAATTGTGCAACGTCATTTTCAAGTACAGTTGTTGGCGTACATCACCATCAGGATCATGATCATCACCATTACGAATGAGGGAGAAGAAAGAACCAATCGCATAAGTCCAGCCGGAGCTTTGCGACTAGGTGCCTTCTTGGATATATGGTGCGAAGGAAACGCAACTAGCCCGATTGCTGAGACAAAGACAGGGGATGCTGATCTATTGAAATCAAGTTTGCAACCCTCCACCAAAGCAGGAACCGCCAGCTTTTGTCAGGTCAGTCAACAAAAACATTTTCAGGTTCCAGATCACTAGAGCCTCTTTTGCTCCATATGCTTATCTACAGAACTGCGGGACTTGGAAGATTCCACAAGCTATCGGTGTGCAACACTCGGTCGAAGTCTCTGATTCACTGTCAGTCTACACGACCCGCAGATCCGCGACATCAGATTCGAAAATTTTTAGGATTACACTAGCAGAGGCAGCGTTCTGCCTACTACGGACAATGTGGACATTGTAATCTGAGCGTACAATATTGGAGTCCTAACGTTAGCTACTGTAACAAAGTTACAGCCACGATATGTGAAATATTCCGAGACATCTGGTTTGCCCACCTAGGTTATAGAGGGTCTTCAGTAAATCTTGAAAAAGCCAAATTCTCCTCTTAGTTGTCCCACAAAATGGCTCAGTAGTTGTAATGCACTACTCGTAAGGTTGCTGAAAATTCTTCGACAGCTCACAACGGGTTTTACCCTTCTTGGGGCTCATCAGGTAGGTGCAGTCTCTGAGTTTCTGTAAACCTTACGTTTCATTTGAAGTCAAGTTGCACGTAATTAGCGAAATACACTCATTTGCAACCAAAATTGGCTTTGCGAGAGACTCACCTGGAACCCAGCTGAAAGACTCGGTAATGGCGGAACATATACACCAAAATTGCTTTGCGAAAGACTCACCTGGAACCCAGCTGAAAGATTCGGTAATGGCGGAACATATACCAGACATGGGACACAAAATAGATTTAGAAAATGCTAAGGTTCTGAGGCGAGGACTACGGTCCACGTAACAGAGACTGATGGACGATACAGTGGAAATAGTCAAGCATCCCAGACTTAATAGAATAGAAGGCGTAGAATTGGCTAGCGTGTGGAGACAGTCTACAGCTTGGTTTCCGAATCGGTTATGAACAGATTTCCTCCTTCTAGATTGCCAGCAGTAATTTCCGTCAGATATATTTCTTGCTTCAGGACTATCGGAACAGAAATAACTAACTAGGAATGTTTGGGCAGTTAAAATATTTTGAGAATGCATTATTCTACTGCATTATTACAAATACAGTTGGAACAAAAACTTGAGAGCATCCTGCAAGAAGTCTTGGACTATTCTTTTGACTCTACCCTGCCTGGGGTTTTGTGCATCCCGCGCCGCTGTCAGGAACGAAAAAATCATCATTCCTCTTGGGGGAACACTACTCGTAAGGTTGTTGAATAGTCTCCGACAGCTGACTACCGGCTTCGCCCTTCTTGGGATTCAGATAAGTGTTCCATTAGAACCAGTTTGGTGTGAAATGAGTGTACTTTGCTTTTTGTTCGAGCGATCTTGTTTCGATCCTATTGCGATTGTCCTGTACTATTCAGCTTACCAAGTAGTGTTCAAATGGTAGGGACAGTTCCTAGTCTAACAGATGGATGCGTGCTAAAAGGCGACCTGAATAAAGACTTCATGATGTGGCACGCTGTTTGGCGTCCTACTTGGGTTCAATTTGGTTTCAAGTAGAACTTAAGGTTGACGGAAACTCGGGGACTGCGCCTACCTGATGAGCCTTAAGAAGGGCGAAACCGGTCGTGGGCTGTCGACCAATTTTCAGCGACCCTATGAGTAGTGCATTACGTCTAAAATGAATGTTGTCCCATCTTCTCATAAAATGGGAGCAAATGGAGGTATTTATTTACCAAATGTAGACTATACTTTCAAAGTATGAATGATGGTGGGGGCAAGCAGACGCGACAGAACCACAAAAAACTCTAACAAATGTTCAAAAGTTCCAAAGAGCTGTTCAGATTCGCATCCTTCACAACTACTGCTGGTCATACTACTACGTCCGCTTGCGGACACTGAGCACGCCGACGATATTGCTTTTCTCGGACCAGACCCTTTAGAAATGCAACCTAATTTAAAGAACAGTTCTGTATGCGCCGAGCACCTGTAAAGCATAAAATGCTGCTGCAAACTGGCTGAGATCAAATCCAAATCTAAACTGATCGATATAAAAGACAAGTTCATTTGCCTGGGCAACTGCATAAATCCGGTGGACTGGTAAAAGAAGAATTGATAAAACCAGAACAGCGTTTTTCAACCTGTGGCATTCGTGGTAGAACGTACAACGGGACTGGTGAAGAATTGATAAAACCAGAGCAGCGTTTTTCAACCTGTGGCATTCGTGGTAGAACGTACAACGTGGCAGGTCTGTCTATCCATCCTTGAGGATCGGGGACCTGGTTAGTGGGCGTGGAAGAACTTCGATGTTATGCTGAAGTACGTCAGATGGTTTTCTGGAAAGTCCGCTCTACCTTGATGTATCAGCCAGTCAGCTGGTTAAGCCACGTGCTTTAGACTGCAGAGGATTGTTTGCCTCGTACAGCCCTTTCTTCCCAGACGATCGGGAGGCGGTTTGTCCATGACTTACCAACGAAGCATGGAAGCCCTCACTGGTGAAATCTGTCGCGTTGGCAACTGCTATCTTCCCGGACGGGGACCATGGGAAGAGACAAACCAGTGGTCAGTGACCCTGAAGTGTATGATTGTGTTACGCAGCCAAGCTAAGCTGTCACCTTCACAGCATAGCTCTCACTGGACAAGCAGCCATTTGACGTTGATGAATTGACTGGGTTATCGCCTCAAACGCGTGGCATTTATTCCATTTACCCCTCATCCTCGGTGAATAAAACCGTAGCAATTGAAATCGCTGGACCTCACCGCGTGGTTTTTAAGCTGAAAAACTGACTGACCCATTGACTGTCTGTCAGCCAGTCATTCAGTCTGTCTGTGTCTGTCTGTCGTTTTGTGTCTATCTATCTATCTATCTATCTATCAATCTATCTATCTATCTATCTATCTATCTATCTAT